AAGCTTTTTTTTTTTTTTTAGCTGTGAATAATTTGATTTTGTTTTATGACCTTAGAGTACATTTAGAAAAATAAGCTAAATTATTGGGGTCACAGAAGAATTTTCACATCATTTATGCACTTTGCCTCCCTTTTTAAATGCTGAAATTAAAGTCATATTCAGTATTGATTTTTTTTGGAAACAGTGACTGTGTGACAGAAATTATAAACATGTTCTCAGATTTATGACTGACTGCAACTCTTGTCTGTAACTTTAGATGTTTTAGTGGTATATTTTCTTAATGATTTTTGGCTGTTCTTAGTATATCAGGCGTTCTTGACACTAGGAACGCTAACAAATCATCAAAAAATGTAGCAATAAAGTCAAAATCCCAACAAAAGAAAGCTGGTTTGTGCAATTCCTTGATCTAGTTTATAATCAACTTGCCATGATTTTACATTTGAAGCCTTCTGCTTCCATCCACACGTTCTAAACAGCTAACATATGGATCTCATGAAAGGTATGATTTTCACTAATTATTGAATGTTTATATCTTATAAATACACAAATTTAAAAACTTTTATCAGCAAAAGATAGCAAAGACTTCATTGCCTTAGAATTCAAGTTTACTCTTGGATTAATTTTTGTTTTTTCAGATTCAAGTTTACTCTTGGATTAATTTTTGTTTTTTCTTCATATTCATCTTCGGATATATGCAACTGAAAGAAATTTAACCTCATAAATTAAGCACAGAAGTGTGCCTTAATCTCCATTTCAATTTGATAGTATAAACTGCAGTTTGGGATTTACTATAAGGCATATTTATCACTTTAATCTCTTAAGAAAACTGCACTGTAAATGCAAATTTATTTAAAGAGTGAAGTACCAAGTTTTATTGAGATAATACAAAACATTTGATCCAGTTAACATATTATGTAATGGATGTGAAATTAATAATTTAAGCCATGTACTTACAAAAGTTATATGTTCCACTAACAGATATATATATATATATATATAT